CAGCAAGTGTTGTAATATTAAATAGATCTTGAATATTCCTTGAAACTCAGTTACAGTTTATAAGTTATGATTCATCAGCAAGTGTTGTAATATTAAATAGATCTTGAATATTCCTTGAAACTCAGTTACAGTTTATAAGTTATGATTCATCAGCAAGCTTCAAAGTGTTGTAATATTAAATAGATCTTGAATATTCCTTGAAACTCAGTTACAGTTTATAAGTTATGATTCATCAGCAAGCTTCAAAGTGTTGTAATATTAAATAGATCTTGAATATTCCTTGAAACTCAGTTACAGTTTATAAGTTATGATTCATCAGCAAGCTTCAAAGTGTTGTAATATTAAATAGATCTTGAATATTGAATATTCCTTGAAACTCAGTTACAGTTTATAAGTTATGATTCATCAGCAAGTGTTGTAATATTAAATAGATCTTTCAATAATATATGAAGTTAGGCTGTTTTTCTTTCTGGTTCTCTTTTTCATAACTTCTCATGTCAAGGTTGTGCAGATTTTGTTATTGAGTTAGAAATTTTAAGCTCAGTTGTTTTTTGACAAAGTTCAGGCCTAGCCTTTTGAAAATAAAGAGTATGTCTGGTCTGATTTATGAAAGTTCTAATAAATATTAATTTTTTTTTAAGATTCCTGGTACTAATATTTCAGTTTTTCTTAGTATAGAATAAAAGATTTATTATAACACTTCAAATATTTTAATAAGAAGGAAGAAAAAGAAATAATGTTGGAATTTTATAAAACAAAATAGATAAAGAAATAAAATTTTAAAAATGGAGCAAAATCATAAAAATTACATAAATTTATACTTGATGAGAAAAAATATCAAACAAAAGTAGGTATGAAACAAATTAAAAAGGTGCACTGAAAGATAAAGGGTGGGTTGCAATTAATTTTTTTCAAGGGTGGGTGCAAAAGGACAGCCTTAAAAGACCAAACGAACTTCTGTTGTTTGTACATGTTATAAACCACATCATATGACCTTTTGCATGGCCTAAACACAAATCACGTCCAACTGTTTCGTCATCATCATCTCTTGTATAACATTAATAAAAAATCATTTTATACTAAAGTAGAAGACAAAACTCAAAATAACTTCAAATACATAAAGAGTAGGTAGGGGAAAAAAAGCATATACAACAAACAAGTTATCTATCTATTTATATATATAAAAGCTGAAAAACTTAAAAAAAACATTACTAACTTTATGAAAGAACAGCCCAATAATCTAAAATCCAATGGTAAAACTAAAAGTATCTCAAGGGCTCAGTCTTAGGACCTTTGCTCTTTTTGTTTTACACTAATGACATGAACGAAGGAATGGTCAATAAGTTACTTAAATTTGCAGATGATATTAAGGTCTTACTGTGAAGAGGATGCTGCTGATTTATAAATCATTTAATGAGTTGGGCAAATAAATGGCAAACGGGTTTTAATTATAATAAATACAAGAAAATGCATGTGGGTTATCATAATTTGAATTATAAGTATAATTTGGATGGTAATGGCCTTAACAGTGTCATGAAAGAAAGGGATCTCGTTGTAGTGTTTGATCAGTCTTTTTAAACCATCCAAGCAGTGTGCTGTTGCTTGTGGTACAGCAAAAATTATTTTAGGTTCTATCTACAGAAATATTGAATACAAGTCTAAAGAGGTTATAATTTCATTATACAGGTCACTGGTTAGGCCACATTTGGAGTATTGTGTTCAATCTTGGGCTCCTCACCTCAGGAAGGATATTGAATTGTTGGATAGGGTTACTAGAATGATGCCTGGGATTGAGGGTTGTCATACAAGGAAAAGTTGAGATCTCTCAAATTGTTTTCTCTTGAGAAAGGAAGGGTTAGATGGGATTATGTTATAATAGCTTCCCAAATATGGACAACAATGTCATCAACAACCTATGTCATTACATCATCATGAGAAAAGAAGGGACAGAAAGAATCTGTTTAGTGTTCAAAATTATAAAGCAAACAGACATAATCGATGCATTATCTTTTTTCGTGTTTAACAGTAAGAATGGTAGGGTAGTGGTCAATTGTATATTAGCCAATTTTATTTTTCAGACAGGATGGTCAGCCTTTAGAATAGAAAGCCTTCAGTCATGGTGGATGCAACAGGATTAGAAGCATTCATGAAAACTTTAAAAAATCTGGGCTGGACCCCTAGTTGTCTGTCAAGCATGATATTATACAGGGCTTGACAACCTAAAAATTATACTTACTTGCCCGACAGGGCATGCAAGTGAACCGTTTTGCTGCGTTGTTCGGATTTACCCCACAGCTACCAAAGAAAGGTTTCCTTCTACTGAGACATGCAGGAACATCCCTGCATCCTTAAAACAACCACCATATTAGTGTGCGTGCTGCCATCTGTGTGCTATGCCATGAAACACATTTTTGTATACAGTATTTTGAGCATTACATATTTTTCAAGAAACTTAATTACCTGTAATTTACAATTTACATTTTGTATGTAATTACCATAATGTACAGTGAAGGAAGGATTAGTAATAAAAATATAAACCATGTAAAAATACGAACTTATATTACTGCTAATCTTGCAGGAACACATCTAATGTCTATATACAGACACTTTCTTTAAATCTTGGATATTGTTATCTATATTAAAATCCTTATATTTTGTAATGATTTTGACCTCTTATTGACTTAGTTATGCCTATAATTTATGTCATTCATTTAAGAACACTTTCATCTTATTTTTGTATTTAAATCAAATAAATTTCACTATCAGTCATGGTTTTCAACGAGTATTGATGTCAGGTATAGAAAAAACAGCGTCTTTCGAAGTTACAAAAGTAATAAAAAAGGGTCAAATCCATGATTATATTTTTTGGTGGATAATTGATCCTTTTCGAGAACCAGCCTAAAAATTAAATGCTCAGTGAAAGAATTAAAGTGTTAAAACAGTGAAATTGACAGAAAATCCCTTTACGACCTTTTTTTACTTTTTTTTTTATAACGTATGATATAAATACGTATCTATTATTAAGTGATGAAAGGAAGCAAATTCGATACAATAACACTCTGAGAAAATGCTTTCTGTACTCATTTTAGGCTTAGATTACTCAATTTAATTAAGCGATTGTATTCCACATATTTTTACTAAGTGTTTTATTGTTTATTTTTTTGTAGCTAGTCAGTGGTGACTTTATTTCGGTCTTATCTTGTCCAACCTGACAAATTTGTATGCTTTTTGATAACCACATTAAATCCTTTTTGTATCTCACTCAACGAACTCTTTAAGTCATTCTTCATTATTTTTAACCAATTTGAACAACCATAAGTTGGTAATGTTTCGACTTGTGTTATCAACTATCTAAGAATATCTCAATGCATTCTAATTGGTCAGTTTTTATTGCGTTTGGGCAAGGAAACCTTAATGGTCAGTTACTCAAAGGGACAAGTGGGATAAAACGTTAACGTCAAGCCCTGTTATGAGTGGCTAATGTAAATTCAAGCTGTTCTAATGTTTCTACAAAGATGTTATCACTTATATACATGATAAAGTTTCAGCACAGGTGAGCAATGTACATGTAAAACATTCTACAATATTTATCACAGTCTTAAAACATGATGTAAAAAACGTGCAATACATACAAGGCATTATCTTATGCGATAACTCAAGTCTTTCAGAAGGTTGCCTTTCCTTCACTTTCTACTGATGAAGACAGATGTATTTCATCTTTCCAAATATGAAACACTTATAACATATACTTCAATATCTTATAATTTATGGCATCTTTAACTGTGCCAATATTCCTAATACATAATTATTTATAGAAGAAAATAAATATTACCTTTCCAAACAATATGATGTTTTAGGTGTTTTGGATTCATTATCCAATGAAGTATCCACAGTTTTGTTCAATTTTCTTTTAACCTGCTTGCTTTTTGATTCCAAAAGTGCAAGCTTAGGTCCTGATGGTTGATTGGTTGTTCTGCTATAATGCTTCAACCAAGCTGTTGGCGTTTGCAATGGATTTACTGAAAAAACTAATCTGTTTTCTCCAGTTTGACTAGACTGGTTTACAACAGATATTACATCTTCTGGACTTGGCTTTGTACAGTTCATGTGCAAGCTGATACTGTCAAAGTTTGTCTTATCAATAACTTCCCTTTGTTCCAATTTAGGGAGTTGTGAAGGTGCATGACTTAATGACTGATCTTTAACATTAGTATAAACAGGCAAGTCGGAAACCTCAAAACTACGTCCCTGTTCTTGGTTAAGTTTACAATGATACTGAGAGAGGTTTCCACAAGTTTTGGTATTGGTAGCCCAAACTGGGTTCTTATAAATTCTGCTAGCTAAATTGGATTTAATGATGCAATCACCACTTCCAACAGTAGTGGGGTTAGACTCATATGGATGAAGATTCACATTCACTGGAGCTATAACGTTAAATTCTGAGGTAGGTCTAGTACTACTGTCACTAACTTTACTAACATGATTAGTTCTATTTCTTAAGCGTGGCTCCAATAGGCGAATCTGTGTATGATTAGAAATATTTTCAGTGAAGTTGTTGTCTCCTCTTAAATCACTTGGGAACCGTGTTACCACTGAACTTACTTTTAACGATGGACTTAAGATTTTTGAATTTATGTCACGTTTTTGACTCTTATTTAACGTTAGGCTTAACTGAGCTCGGCGATGCTTGTTTCTTATTTGGTATCTTTTAAACAAAAGTATAATCCAAAGCAAAACAAAAATACAAATGAAAATTAAGGTAATTACAGGTAAAAAATATAAGCAAAAAATTATGAGAAAAATACCACCAACGATGAAAATTCGGAGGTGTATTATATAAGGCTCCATCTTCAATCTAACATCACGCCATTTTTGTTATACAAGGTCTTTGGTCCCTGAAAGTCTCTGAAATGAATGGCTAGAACATGATTCGTCAATATTTGCTAATTATACTAGATATTTCTGACTTAAAAATAATTTGTTTATTAAACTATAAATTTTGTAAGTTTATTTCGCAATTTTAATTTCATGCCTTTCTATTTACATTATTACTTATATTAGTAATCTAAGTGATGGAAATTTCATTGGCTAATTAAACTAAATGAAAATAATGGCGCCAAAAAGTTTTACTGGAGCGCTAACAGATAAAGAAAAAGTATTTATGCTAATTAGAAGTCACAAAATTTCTAAATAATATACTGTTTGGCAGATGAATATCAAATTATAAAATATAATTTATGACAGATAATTGTGAAAGATACTGTATTGTATATAAATTGCTACAGTGTTATACAGACTATATGTATATACCTATATGTTACTTTTTAATTGTGTATAATAAGCAGGGCTGACGAGAGGGGAGGGCAGCTGCCCTGGGGAATGTTGAGGGGCCCAGCAGTGGGATATTCCAAAGCTCACTAGAAATGCATACTACTTAATGAGCTAAAATGGCTACTGCTTTTTCATGAACCCATGAATAAATTTGTCACCTAGATTTATTTTATGAAAAATCAGCAAAAGTTAATAAATATAATGAAGGGGGGATTATATTACTGACCCCGGGGTCTGAGCTGGCTCTCGACGTCCCTGATCATTAGTTCAATTTATGATTCCATTTATTCTTAAGTGGGACCGAAGAATATGAGTTCATCATTTTGATTATTCCAAAAATATATTTTCTTCTCGTTCATCATATTTCAAAAGGAAAATCAAAGTCGTGTATTTATGGTATTGTTGCGTATCTGCTTGTTTGTTAATTTCCGGTGTAAATTATTTCCGAGGAACTTCAGCGATACAAGTCTTCTCTTCATTAAAACTAGTTTATTCTTTCTCGATACAACTTTGTAATACACAGAATTTCCACAGTTACTTTAAACTTAACAACCCTTATAACACACGCTATAAATCACAGTGATTCACACACTTTACTTGCGGTGCCTACTGTTCGCTTGACTCAATTATCTATCTATCTCTTCGATCTATCTGCCTATCTATCTCGCTGGTTTTACTCGCCAGGCTTATATACTAAAAAAAGATGGCGTCTAGCAAACACTGGGACATTCGCGAGGTTCCTCGATAAGTCATGATCCTTCTAGAAACCCCAGCGCGCATGCTCACAGCGTCGAGTGACTTCCGCTGTCGTAACAGTATATATAGTTCTCTGGTGAAGGTATACGACTAGAAATTTTTTTATTGTAATGTTCTGTTTAAGGAGTTAAATATTTAAAAGGTTACTAGGAATCTCTGAACTTATGATTTAAAAGTTTTGAAGCTAAAAAAGGTGTTGGTGAAAATTCTGATATGAAAGTCAGGGCATGGTCAATATATATTAGGAATCATTACAAAATTAGCCTTCTTAATTCAATGCCATGGACGTCCGCAGAGGGGGGCAATTCCCCCTTGGAAAATGAGAAACATGATGCTTTCTTTATTCATTCAACTTTATATATGAATGTTTTTACGCAATTCACAATTTCACACTATTCCCTCCCCCCAGGGAAACTTTGCCCCTGCCTGGAAATATTTCTGCCGACACCCATGCTCAATGTCTGTGTTATTTTTTAAACTTGGTTTTTAAGTACAAAAATACGCAATGGGTTCTATGTGTTTGCCTACTGCAGGTATCGAAACCAGATTATTTGTGTTATAAGCCCTTAGACTTATCTCTGAGCCACTGGGTGCGTTGTAGTTTTAGTTGTTTGGAACTGAAGTACGCATTGTAGTAAACAGTGTAGATAACTATAATTTTCTTTAGTTAGGAAAAGACTAGATTTAGGTAATTATCTGATAATTAGATCAGATAATTAACATTTTTACTGTTAAACGATTAATATTTGAATATTATTGTTGTCGCATTTGAAAGTGCTGCTTTGTTGGTTTGTTTATAATTAAGCACAAAGCTACACAAAGGGCTCTGACCACCACGGGTATCGAAACCCGGTTTCTAGTGCTGTAAGTCTGCAGACATACCGATGTGCCACTGGGGGGCGAAAGCGCTGCTAATTTCACACTTCCCAAACTAGTATAGAGTAAATAGTTATTCAAGTATATTCAGGTACTTTTTCCTAATTTTCATGCTAATATTTTTCACGAAATTAGAATCTTCCCAGTCAACCGGATGCACAACCCATAGACTTGTACTAGACACCTCTTGCTATATAGGAAAGGACACGAGGGGACATTTGACCCTTTACATTTCAAAAGAAATTTAAAAATTGCATGTATTATGGTGTAAACTTAACATTGTAGTTAAACTAAATATTTCTAGTAATCTTTATCAAAACTGTAAGTTTGTGTTTACGTTTAAGCACACATAACACATATTTTTTCAGTCTGTTGACTTACACTCTAAAATGCTGATCTCCCTACATACAAGTTTTGCCTCTCCCATAAAATATTCTTGTGGGCGCACAGGAGAGTATATACTACAACAATTATTTTATACAGTCTATACCTATTTAGCCCTGTTTCTGTGAAGGTAAATGGAATGGGGTTATGCTTATTTGAATGGGCAACACAGAGATATGTACAATTTAGTATGAGTTGAGGTTGTCTCCCTTGCATATGTATATTTAATTTGAGGTAACTTTAAGTTCATTGATAATGTTACAGATAAGAATAGTAATCATAAGTAAATGAACTGCAGGAAATGTAATGCAGAATTAAACTGAAATTTGGACTTGACTAGTTGAATAAAAGAGATTGAACACAATGTTAAACAAAGTAAAATTTATATTTATTTTCAACAAAAACTGACGAGAAGACGAAACATTGGACAACACTTCTAGATTTTAGAAAAATATTTCTGAATTCTCTATTTATTATAGTATAGACGGAGAGACTAATTTCCACGTACTTAAATAAATATAATAGAATTTTTCTCAGAGTGCATTTGTCATCCATATCATTGGTTATACCTTAAATGAAAGTAAAGAGGACATAGTCTTCAGACATTTCCAAACTTAAGCACAATGATGTCACTAGAGATAATATCAATATTAAAAATAGCCCATAAGAAAGTAAAAAAAAAAAGTTGTGTCAAGTGGAACAATGCACCTTGATCATATATGACTATCATAAAAAATAAAGCTTTAAGAGGCAGCTTTCTCATATAAGAAAGTGTTAGGTTTTTATAGGGCTGGATTCTTTACAGTAGTTGTCTGTAACTTGTTGGCCATAAATGTCAACAATGAATGGACAGCACACAATCCACTTGTTTTAAAATAATATATTTAAAATAAGTCATATGTATGTACAAAAATTCGTCACATTATTGGTTATTACAGTTGTATCCAGAGCTTTATATAATTGTCTCATTTTCGTCAAAGTCCACACAGGTAGATTCAACTACTTCATACAAGACAAATTATTCTCCTCTATCTCTGTTATTACAATACAAGCTGTGAAATTCACTTTAGAAATTGTACATTATGGCTAAATTGACAATCATGCAGACTATCTTCACTTTTACTTTCACTAACTTAACTTACTTCCTCTCTGTATCTGCACATATTTATAACATACGACAGAAAAAATCTATAAATATCTAGCCATCTAGTAACAACAATATTACACATAATGAGAAAAACTTGAAGCTTCCAGTAAGATGAGGTCAACAATACTACAAAAGCCTAGTACAACAATTATACTACATACACAACACATGACTCGCACAGAGTTACGTAACGAAACTTGTCATAACTATCGCTTTTAAAATAATTACATTTTAACACTCTTGTTATGAAACTAATTAACCATTTAATATTAAATCACTAACTAATAACTCTTAAACAGAACAATCTTAACTGTATATCCAACATTGAAAGTATGCATATTGTGGTACGGGACTGTATGATGTGTTTACCTTTTTCTTAATAAATATGTACATTTTCGAAATTTCTGTTGTTTTTTCAGCTCAATTTGGGTGTAGAGAATCACTCAAGTGAACAACGTAACTTTTCCTTACTCTGAAGATGTTTTAGTACAGAGTTTTATTGAGTATTGTCTCCAAGTGTACATGACCAATAAACTGGAAGCATGATGTTTTAGTCTACAATAGTTATTGAACAATGTTTCTACATATATGTCACTAAATGAATAGGAAACTTGATGTTTTAATACATAATGTTATTAAGTACTGTCTCTACATACACAAGGATAAACAAGTTTGGAACATGATATTTTAGTACAGTTTTTTATTGAATAATGTTTCTACATATACATGACTATATTAGTTGGAAACGTTCATGAAGCTCGAAAAACACGTAGTTTCAAGAGGTCTTGATAGAAATGAATAAAAACCCTATAGGGTTTTTATTAGTTGAAAACGTGATGTTTTATAGTACACAGTTTCATTCAACAGTGTTTATATATATATATATACAAGACTATACAAGTTGGAAACATGATGTTTCAGTACATGGGCGCCCACAGGAAGGGCAAGAGGGAACATTTCCCCTCCCACCATTTCCCCAAAAATTGCACATGTTATGATACAAACTTAACATCGTAGTTAAGCTAAATATTTTTTATTAATCTTTATTAAAAATGTAAATTTGTGTTTTACTTTAAGTACTCATATTCTTTTAGTCTGTTGATCTACAGTATAAAAGCTGATCCCCTACATACATGTTTTGCCATCCACCCCAAATATTATGCAGTTTCATTGAATAATATATCTATGCACAGTTGGTAAGACGATGCTTTAGCACAAAGAGATGAATTGAATTTATATGGAAGAACGCCTCTTTATTTGAAGGTTTTACTTTACTGATTTGAACTTCCCAATTTTAATTAAGAATATATTTTTATGTTTCACAACCAGGTACTTTATCTCAGCAATATACATGGGAATATATGATATAACGTTAAGAAAATAC